TGAACAGCCAGCCCTTTCAGTAATGACCTTCTGTGACTTACCCTCTTTGTGGAGGGTGTCAATGATCGTCTTCTCGACCATTGCCAAGTCAGCAGTCTTCCCCATTATTGTGGTTTCAAAGAACAAGAGATACCCGGAATTTATACTGTAGGGATGGTCATTTAATTAAACTCAAATGTAAATATTCTAATATTTTGAGATACTGGAATTTTTACTTTCATGAGCTGTAAGCTCTAATCATCAAAATTAAAACAAAAAAAAACTTTTGAAATGTTTTACTTTACATGTAATGAACCTAGAATATATGAAAGTTTCACTTTTTGAAATGTTACAAAAAAATGAATTTGTGTGTGTGTGTGTGCTTCTGTCTAGAAGACAACTTAAAAACATACCCCACTCTGCAAATCACTCCACTACAAATTGATAACTGCATCTGTTATAGAAGGCTCTCTTTTCTCTTTCTCACTCACTTGAATCATAACATCACCTGTCATAGTGCACTTTGAAGTGGCATTTGCAAACTGCTTTATTTCCTTTTTGTGCATTGCACTGGGCATTTTCTTCAGCATTCAGTTGTATACTTCACATTGGTCTGAGACCACTTATATCCATTTCCTGGAAGCTATTTTATTTCCACTGAGGTCATGCACTGATTGTTTTTTACTTTTTAAAAATTCCATTTGTTCAGTACATGTACTTTGCACAGTACTTCGCTTGACATGCCATAGTTCTGTTTCAAAGGAACTGAAAAAAAATCTTGACCTCGCTGTGACGTCTGTGGTTTAGTTTCTCAGAACAAGTAGCCTAACAAAAAAAATTAGCTGGTTGTAACATTTATTTTGTTGAATAAGCCATATGTAATATTTAATCTTAGAATGACAATAATTACAAAATCAATTTGTTCAAATGTATTTATTAATTTTAACATGACAAAATAAATGCCCCTATATGACTTTGTATACTTTGTTACCACAGAAGAATAATACCCAGCAATAAAAACAAATAACAAACATGTAACAATTAATTAGAATATCATAATACAGGCACATTATAAACAGCTTAAGTAAAATAAATATTAAAACAGTTTGGTTCATAGAAAAGAAAATGAGTTCCAACTAAACAATAACTGCATATTTTACAGTATAAAAATAATTTACAGGTTAGCAATACATCTAAAATAGCTGCCACATTAAGTCTTTGTACTTTTTAAGTCGAATCAGAAATTACTGAAGTTGTCGTTACGTCTAACCACGCATCATTGTACAAAACAAATACGTCAAAGTTTCGGTGAGTAGGAACTTGGTTGTCTGATACCAAAAAAAAAAAAAAAAAGTACACAAAATCACGTGGCATGAATGCACGTGAGCAGCGTGCTTTTCTTCAGCTGCTCAGCCAGGAAATCAAAACAGAACAAAAGCTAAATGCTACAAAACAATAACAACAAAACAAAATATAGGAAGTGGTCCTGTCTATGAGTTTGCATTTACAAATATATTATTATAAACACTAGGAATTGTGTCAGAGCTGTGCCCTAGCGGTTAGCGCTTGTGCTCTGACTCATTTAACATTGCTCATGTGGCCGCTGCAAATCTGAATCATGACATTTCCCCCTCCTCTAAAATAAAAATAGCAGAAACTAAAAGTCATGTTAAAAACAGTCTTCACAGTCTTCATTTGCATTGCCCGTTGTACGTCCAGAGAAAAAGCTTTCTCTATGACCCTCAATCATTTGCGTCTCTCCCGTACTGAGAGTCTGCAACCTCAGCATTTGCCTCAGCTTCCGACGAAACTCTTTTGATGCAAAATAATAAATAAATGGATCTATGCAACTATTAATGCAGCTAAGAGACAGGGTCAGTTTATAGTAGATATAGAGAGACTTGTCGTAGTACAGCCTTGCGATCGAGTGGGCCAAGAGTAATATGTTATTGGGAGCAAAACAAAAAATGAACACGAACAGAACGATGCACGCCAACCGCACAGCACGGCCTTTCTGTTGACTATTGGTCTTTCTGACCAGGACGCAGATGATGTTAATGTAGCAA